TTTATTCGATCAATGTGCAGTTAAGGTCCCAGCTTTAGGTCATAGTTTTGTGCTACAGTTAGATCATGTTTCTCCATTACAAAGTATGTACGTACATACTAGTGATATCACATAATAAAACTGATATTAATATAGATTGTAGGTTAAAACCGTTAAAACAAAACCGATAATACTAGTTAAAAATGTTAGTTAAAATGACTGCTATTATGTATCATATTATCAAATACATATTAAATTAAATTAAACTTTGTTATCTGTTATTATCAAATTATACAAGACTAGTATAAGAAGCTAATGTCAAAACAAATAATTTAATAACTCTTACCTATTCCAATGTGATAATATTGACAATAAATTAATTGCTGTTAGTGGCTGTTCAGTTTTTGATTAATAAAAAATCTAATTTTAGTAGCCGACCTTGAGAAAAAATATGGAATGCTTATGTTGTCGAACAAAGAAATGGAAATTACTATTCTATTTGATGTGACTATTGTTCTAAACATTTGAAAAGATAGATATCAATCATAATGGAATCACATTTAGCTAATAAATGTTTCAGTGTCTATAAGATGTATAGTACAAAAATATTGGCAGGATAAAATTGAAAATCGACAAAATAATTATCGAAGTACTTCAAATACAAAAACTCACAAATCAATAGATTCTGTTAATACAAATAATTCAGAATCACTATCAAAATTCTGGGTGAAGCATCGAATATTGTTGATGAGGTTTTATTAAAATTGATACGATACAGGGATTAATAGATGACGCAGAAATCTGTACATGCACAAAAAAATTTTTTATGCATATGCATCAATGTAAACGCTAATTTAATTAAATATAAAACAATACAGTTTATCGCAAGTATACGTATAAAGTTTTAGCAGTAGTTTTATCAGTTTATATTTTGATAGTTTTTATGATTTAATCAAAAGCATTAAAAATATAAACAGTATAAACCTATTATATAGCTAGTTTATATTTTTATCAGGTTTTGTCAAGAGTATTATCGGCATCACTAGTACATACGTATATACATTGAAATAGAATTCTAAATTGATTTGATTCAAACTTAATATAATACATGAATTCAATCGATTTAAAAGATTATTTGATTAGTTAAAATTTTAACTATATATAGATGCCCATGTGGGCATATAAAAAAATTTATGCCTATAGGCATGCCCAGGAGGGCATATCCATGGGGCATGCCTGTGCCCTTATGCTCCCCACCCTAGTTGTAGGTCTATTAGGTCTGTTGGAGTGTACTATACACTTCCTGCTGTTGTATCTTATAGTTATTTAATTATATTCTACAGTTTTTTTAATTTTTAATTTTTTGTTTATTTAATTTTAGTGATATACAGTAAAGGTTTTTTTTTTTATTGATTCCTTAATATAAATAGTTAATTTATTTAATAAAATTTTTTGAAATTAAAAAAAATTTATTTTATATATGCTAAAATAAACTATTGCAATATTTTTTGTATATATTAGCTTTCTTTTAAAAATAGTAACTTTTTTTTAAAAATATATAGGATTTAGTAAACCAAACTGGTTTAGATAACCATTTTTTATATTTTTTGTATTTTTTTCTTTGTTATTGTTTTGTTTAAGTTGATCTGAGTTATATATCAGATAATCCTATAATTACAAGTTGAAATAAAGTATATCAGAGTCATATTGGCATTTTTTAATCCTAATATAAGCCTGATATTAAACTGAAGTTTGGCAGAAATTGGATACAAATAGTAGACCAATCGGGGTAATATCAGCATAAATATATATTGGTTAAACTGATAGCTTTATAAAAATACTAATATAGCTATCAGATATAATGTTGATAGCTATATCGACATTTCTATAGAGCTATTGGTTTAACCAATATGTATTTATGCCAATATTACACCGATTGGTCTTTTATTAATATCCGATTTCTTCTAAACTTTGGTTTAAAATTGGGCTCATATCAAGATTAAAAAATGCTAATATGACCTTGATATACTTTATTTCGACCTGTGAATGTATCTAATTCATTCTTTCAATTTATCTTGATGAGATAAATTGATTGGTACAGTATGGATATCTTTTTTTTTGTAGTCAAGGTTAGCCTCTTCAGCTTATTACTTTTATTAGATTATAAAATTATATAGTGCTTTTTTCAAGAGGTCCCAGACAAGTATATTCTGATGAGGATACATTTTAGCCATACTTGTGCCTTTTGAGCACCTAATTTAAGTAGTCTACCTATTACTAAGTTCTATACTAGATACTATATCTATAACCTACCTATTATTTGGGCTATCTAATTAAACCTTCTGATCCGAGTTTCCTATACCAATCTATTTAACCTTACCCAGAACCTGCTATATATTAGTCAGTTCAAGTTCTAGGATCATTTGCGAACTATATATAAAACTACCAGCTTGGTTAACTAATTCGTCATCACCTGCTAGAGCAATCCAGTATCTACTATTACTGTATTACTTAGTCTTATTCAGATAAGTTTTGCTAGATAGATTCTATATCTTTACGAGCAGGCCACACTGCCAATTCTTTCTACAGATAAGTTCACCAAATAGGTTTTAAACCTTTATGGGCAGACCATACTGTTGAACCTTTTGACTCTTGCAAAGTTCATTCAAACCTTGGTACTCTTTCTTCAAAACAACCTGATACCTTCTCTTTCAGTACCTCCTAGCTAGTTTTCCCAGACTATTAATCCAAATAGTCTGAAAAGAACATTAATCTTGTGGTATCTGCTGATTCTTTTTTTTTGATTAATGCTTAAACCAGCAGCCTGGTTGGTAAAACAACTTGCTGGTTGTTCTTGTCATATTCAGTTCTTCAGCTTTGGGTAAAGCCTATTTCAGTAGCCATCATCAAAAATCTGCGCTATATTTCTATTCAGGTCTTGCCAAATGAGCATTATCTTTTCAGTTCTTTGAGTTTATACAAACATGAGATCTTATCTTGGGTTTGCACTAACTAATACCGGCTTGCATACCTTTGTGTAACTTATATATTGCACAAATGCCCATGATCTTCCAATCTTGTTGATGCAACCAAGATTACAAAAATCCTGTTTCAACTGATTGTCAAAAGACAGTAGCTGTCATATTAACAGAATATTCAAAATTTTGCCATTAAATTAACCACTTCACTAAGTTACCACACCCTTGTGTAGGTATTTTTAAATCAACAAATTATTTATATAAATGCAAAATTTTTGAAATATAGAAACACCTATAGCAAAAGAGAAATAGGACTATATATTATATAGTTCTATTCTCTCTTTTGCTATGGGGCGTCCCCAATATGTTGTGTAACTTTATATAAAATAAAGTAATATTATTGGATAATATAAATGTTAAAATATAAACCAACATTTAATAAAAAATTTTTTTATAATTTTTTTGGCCAAAATTATACTAATTTTAAATAATATAACTTGATTAAATTCTAATTTAACTAAAAAAATAAACTTTGTAACTTTTTGCTTTTATTATTTTACAAACAGATTCGATTTATAACTAATTTATTATTTATAAACTTTTTTAAAGATCATGTATTTTATACGTTGATTTAAGGATGCCCGCACTGTATAAGAATTACTAGACTCCATTTGATAAACCCGTGTTAACTTCAATGTGTCTGCTACCCGTCATATGGGGTGCTTCGTATTAAAAGTGCAATTTTTCAAAAATTTTATTTGGTTGTTGAATAGATATAATAAAAAGATTCATAAAACGAACTTAAAGTAAAAAAAAATTGTTTCTATTCGATTTACTCAAAATTGTTTATATGTCAAAATGGGCCTTTTAATACAAGACATTCCATATTACCCCTTTTACCTTATAAAGTCATTATTTTATTAAATAAATCAATATTAGCATATCAAGTTAATCAGAAAATCACAAAATATATATCTAAAAACTTTGCTATGAATTAACTTTTTATTAATATATTTAATATATTATTATTATTTTTTATGGTTTACAAAATATTAAGAACTAAGTTTTAAAATTAGGTTCTGAACCAAACCATGTTTAACTTGGGTTTGGAACTTATTATACAAAAATTTGTTCTTAGGTTTTGGAACCTAAAAGTTTTAGAATATAAATAAACTAAATTAACTTTAACATCCCTACCTTAGTCCCCCAGCCCAAATGCACACTGTACGATCCTTGTCAGCACTAAACACTTGGCCTCCCTGGGGACTCCAAGATACACCGCATACCGAAGAACTAATGAAAAAGAAAAAATATATTTTGAGTAAGATTAAGAATTATATGTAAATAAATATCAACACATACTTATGCTCCTTCACTGTTTTCTCGAGTTTAGATTTTTGGATGTTCCAATAAAATATAGTACCATCTAATCATCAATGAATTTATATTAGAAATTGATTCAAAATCACGATAAAAAGATAATACTGCATTATATAAAACATCTGAAAGGTACGGGGTAAACATTGACGAAAAAAGTATCACATTATTACCACAGGTTATTATTAAATTGTGACAAATTCGTGACTTTAATAAAAACCTGCAGCAGTAATATTGAGATCTTTCCATCAATGTATACGTCATAACTGCCAGATAACAAGAAATTATTTTTACCCAATGAACCCGCTGCCACGTATCTTCCGTCAGGACTGGAAAGTATGTTAAGATATTAATACGCGCTGAAAATAAGATAATGATTAAACGGTACTTTATACTTTACCTAAAACAAGATTTAGACCAATTGGCACCAGTTTTATAGCCCTCAGCACTAAAATATCAGAATAATTGATGTACATTACTTGTTACTAAAAAGACAAACTCTCGGTAAAAATTTAAAACCATACTGTAATGTTTGTTCGACATCGTATGTCCTTAGATCAACTATTTTCAACGTGTTATCGCGAGAATTAGTTAACACTTTGGATCCATCTATAAAAGAATAGTCAGCAATGATCGGTTAAACCGATTTCGAAAAATAGTTTCAAATTAATGCTGAAAGATTTGCTTACCGGGAGATACAGAAACAGAGGTAATTTGCCCTAAATGGATGCCAGTCAATTCCTTAATATCTTTCCCTGATCGCACATCCCAGAAACGTAAATTATTATCCAGGTGACCGCTTACAAGAGTCGTGCTGAAATTAATTAGTGGCATGAGTTTTCACGTTAAATGCTGGTTTTGATTGTAAATTTATACATACCCTTCCTCGTCTAAAGGAACTACATCATTACAACTAGAAAATGAGAAAATCGTTCTGATACCTAGATAGTAATGTACGAAATATCACCAAATAAATTTACTAAACATAAAATTTAAATATACATATGTAAGGCAACAAATATCGTGATTAACATACAATATCCTTTCTGTAAATCCCATACTTTGATGGTTCGGTCATGACTTCCAGTAATCTATTAAAGTAATAAACAAATAAAGTCAGATATATCGGACAGTCAAAATCAAATGATTTTTATTTTTAGATGAATTACTCTCATACCACTTTGGAGGAATCACCGTTGAATCGAGAAGAATAAACTTTTCCTACATGACCTGTTAATGTAAGCTAAATATTGTTTCATAAATAAATGATAAATTTTTTTTTTTTTTTTACATATTTATATGCGTAATATAAGTGCATTTTTTAGATGGAATATATGTGAAATAAACTGACATACTCTTATCCGACCCGTTTTTAAGTGCCATAATCTGGCGGCGTTATCATTTGATGCTCCAGCAATCATCTCACTAGTACTGTTAAATGATACGTGCATGATGGATTGTATTGAACCTGATAATGATTGCTTTGTTTGTCCTAAAAGTTCAAAATAAAATAATTAAGGCGATTACTTTTAGATATTTTTTGAAGCAAAGAGTTTAAGCTTTATTCAACCTGTCGTGGCATCAAATATCTTGATAGTCTTATCTGCACTACCCGTGGCAAACATAGTTCCATCAGCAGATGATTGAATCGTATGTATTTCACCATCATGAGGGACCTTATTGTTTTAGTTAAAATTAAGGTGAATGAGCAAATATTAAATGTCACGGATTATCATGAAATCAGATTATCGTGAAATTTGGGGGTCTCAATTTGAAATATAAGCCCTACCTACGCTCTTTTAGTAATAATTCTAACCCTAAATCCTAACTTAATTATAAAAAAAAAAAGTCGACAAAAAAGGCCCCAAATAGATCTAAATTTCACGATGATCCGATTTCACGATAATCCGTGACATTAAATACAAAAAAAACAAAAATTGCCTTCAAAACATACCAATTTCTTTGCCACAGCTAAGGGTATTATTACAGGACCTGCAGATGATCTACTTCTCGTTCTTTAAATAAAAAATTAGGCTCATTAACAGTTAAAGTTTGATGAAGCATGAAATAATAATTACAATACCTTGTTGACCCGATTCCAGATTCAGTGTGCGTGATGGGTTTCGGAGTGAATTCTTTGTCAACAATAACAACTCCGCTTTGAAATTCTAACGCTTTAGCATGAACTTCTAATGCACTACAAATTAATTTAAACAGATTTAATTTTAAATTTTTTGAAAAAAAAAATCAAATAAAATAAATAAAAAACCTTTCATAAAACATATTTGCTTCGTTCATTCTTTCTGCTTCTTCATTCATTTTTTTTAGCCATCGTTGCAAAAGTTGCCCATTTTCTTTTTCCAAGTCTTTCATACGTTCATCAATTTTCCCTAATTCTAACTGCAACGTTGCCACCTCATCTTGCAGAAGCTAAGAATGCGCAAATTTTAATGAAGGTATTTAATTAATAAAATTATATAGAATTTTAGTGCACGTTTATTCTCAATATAATGGGTTGACTTGTAATAATAAAGAAATAGTTTCAAAATTCATTATACCGAGTCTTTATAAAATAATAAATCCGTTACAATGTGCAGGATTTATTTTTATAGTGTCAAATCCAAATTTGTATATCAAATGTCCATTACATAGAGAATAATGTATATATCAAAAACTGTTTTATACTACCTGAATAGTAACGTCCTTCTCACGAAGGACTTGAACCTGAAGATCAACTTTATTTGTTAAAGTTTGATTTGCTTCGGTTAACTTTTGAATTCTAAAATGTATTTGACAACACCATTAAGATTATTTCAGTTATGACGTTTTAATACAAAAAAAAGAAAAAAGGAGTAAAAAGATGATAATGACTGCATTTACTCTTCTTTGTTCTTTTTAGCCGTCTCTTCGTGATTGCGCAAAACATCATTTACATCTAGCAATCGTTGTGCATTCATTCCTTGAGTTTTATATAATTCAGCACGTTCATCTTTAAGGCTTTGGATCTGTTGCTCCAACTCGGCTGTTCTTTTCTGATTTACTGGGCTCCTAAAAGTTGAACGCGCATATTATGATAAAAGTGAGTGTTAACCCGATATGAACACGTTTTCAATGAAGCCCTGATTGGTGATTTATTTATTTTATGCAATTTTATAAGCATTTATGCGATATAAGAACACTTACCCTTGTTCCCTTAAAATCTCGATCTCTCGGGATAAACTGGCGTTTTTTTCAGTTGCTGTCTTTTCGGAAAGTTCTAATTCTGCATTTCTATCGGCAAATTTCCCGAGTTTCTGGACGAGAGAATTGTCTATATTGTATAAACTTTTGTTAATAATACATTTCAGGGAGTATTGACAGTTACACCTGAAAGAAATATGCTCAAGAAAAGAGTGGTTAAGTCTCTGCGAATAAAAAGTCATTGATACTATAAGCCAGTAAACTGTTGTTATGAGTTTTTCGTGGAATACACGATCGAATACCTTGTTACTTGATTTTACGCGCATAAATTTGTTACATTCAAATATAAGAAATACTTACATGACTCTACAAAGTCCTTAAATGCCTTTTCTCGCCTATCTCTCAACAGTAATTTTACGACCAAATCTCCTTGCCAGTTCCCAGCAGCAATATTATTAATCACAGGGCCTGAAGAAGCGGTGGGAGAAAACATTATGACTACAGATTAACCGGCAGAAATGAAACGAAGGTACTCAGCATATTGGCAGGTTGCACACTTGCTGCCTATATACTCGTGTAACCAAAATGCTCAAGGATTCCAAGGATGCCCTGATCAAAATTCAAAATAATTGGGCCATATTGTTATAGGTATTTCTTTAAATATTTCAAGGTATGCGATACTGTATTCTGATTGATTAAATGAAGATTAATAATATTCTCTATAATCACACGGTTTTTCGAAGGCTATATACGTGCTGTACGTATATACTCATCTAAATAAGTAACATACTGTAAACACTTAACATTGATTTTTTTTTAGTTGCTAATTCTCAAAAACTGTCTAAATACCAAGACCGGATATATTAAGTAAAATTCAAAAAATTAATAAAATTATAATAAAAGAAGGGAGCTGGTAATCGTACCCCCCACAGAAGTTGAAAAATTTTAAACCTTTGAATGAAGATATCTCAACAACCACCTGACTAAATTTGATGAACTTTTTTTTTATTTGAATTCTAGAAATCAGCAGAATTCAAATAAAAAAAAATCCATCGAATTTGGTCAGGTGGTTGTTGAGATATCTTCGTTCAAAATTTCAAAAAATTTCAAAACGTCTATCAAAACAAAGCTGCGCCAAAATTTTTCTAAAACTTTGAGCGACGATATCTCGATGACCACCCGACTAAATTTGATGAAAATTTTTTTATTTGAATTCTAGCGATCTGTAGAATTCAAAAAAAAAAAAAAATTTCATCGAATTTGGTTAGGTGGTTGTCGAGATATCTTCGTCCAAAGTTTTAGAAAAAAATCAAAACGTTTATCAAAACAAAGCTGCGCCAAAATTTTTCTAAATCTTTGAGCGAAGATATCTCGACAACTACCTGACCAAATTCGATGAATTTTTTTTTATTTGAATTCTACAGATCTCTAAAATTCAAATAAAAAAAAATCCGTCGAATTTGGTCAGGTGGTTGTCGAGATATCTTTGCTCAAAGATTTAGAAAAATTTTGGCGCAGCTTTGTTTTGATATATGTTTGAAATTTTTTAAACTTTGAACAAAGATATCTTGACAACCACCTGACCAAATTCGATGAAATTTTTTTTATTTGAATTTTGCATATCTCTAGAATTCAAATAAAAAAAATTCATCAAATTTAGTTAGGTGGTTGTTGAGATACCAGATTTGAAATTTTTTAACTTCTGTAGGGGGTATAAATACCAAATTTGGGGGTATGATTACCAGCCTCCTAAAAGAATATTAAATATTGCAGATTGCTATATCACAGGTTAATATAATTGACCAATTAAATCACATGATCTTGTATAACAAGAATCAGCAAAAAATTAGAAAACTTAAAACAAAAAATCAAAAATTTTAAATATTTAGGAATTTTATTATGTAAACTTGTCTTGGGTTTTTAATTAACATTTAGTATATATAAAATAAAGTAGGGTATTCTGATGCACCTAAGAGTGCTAATAGTAAAAGTTTTCAGAAAAAAAATATTATTCCCAAATTTTATTAAAATAAACTAATATTTGATCTAATATTCATTGTCAAACTAATAAACAGTTTAAATTTTAAAACAAAATTTGATAATTTGAACTTTCAAAACTATTTGAAAACTGTTATATTTTGTAAGTTGAGAGTATTTTAACACACTATACAAATCTGATTAAATCTCAGTATTAATTATTTAAATTTAGCAAAATTCTATTTACACTAGCTTTTTTTGTACTTTCGATTTTGCTAATCTCTCCCTCTTAAATTGCTCAGATAGAAGAAAAAAAAAATAATATAAGAACTACACAATAAGTCTAACCTTCTCTCAAGTCTTGATCAGAATTAAATAATTTTGTATTTATTTGATCCGTCTCAGTAAAACAAATCGAATGGTACTAAAATTGTTTGATTCTAATTAGTGTATTGCAAGATATTATAAAAAAAACTTAAGTACGTCAAAATACCTTCCAGAAACCCTACTTCATCTTATGTCTTTTAACCCTAATTCTAATACTAGTTTGAATCCTAATCCTAATTAATAAGAATTTTAATTTTTTTTAAATATTAACCTGTGATATTACAACCTGCTAAATTTAACAAAAATTTAAAAAATTATCAACATTACTGATAAGATTTATTTATTTATTTTATTTATTTTTTTTATTAATTAGTAGGTTGATGTTTTTATTTAAGTATTTAGATGGAGAATTTACAACAAAACCTCTTACATTAAAAAGTTAATTAGCTATATGTGCAACTTTGGTTGTCTATTTAAGTAGTTCACATATTGGTATTACATTATAGATTATTATATCTACAATCCAACTAGAGAGTTATCTATTTAAATTCTCTGTAATGCAATTCAACTTGTATCACTAGTATATTTCTATTATAATTATCAGTTCCAAATACTTTCTTTAGTACCTTTAGGACTAATTTATCTTTGTAACATGCTGAGTTTGAGAATAAGTATTTGTAAGCTGAAGCTGTTACTATTACTTACTTCTGTCTAGAGATAGATCAGTTCTAAAAAGACTAAATAAGAACTGATCTTTTTAACTAGTTTTATAGTTAATTGATCCTCAGTTCTGAGATCAGTTTTTATAAATAATTTAAATAACTAATTAAAAAATATATTATATAATCTTTTATTTTCAATTACTTATATTATATAATTTGATTTTTTCTGTTAATTAATAAGATTAAATAATTAAGAACTATAATTAGAACTGAGAATTAAACTAAAAATATCAATAGACCAGTCTTTTTAGACTAAACTAAACTTGTTCATTTCTACTTCTGCCTTCGTAAAGTTTATTTAAACTCTAATATCTACTTTATAAACTATTAATTGTTTCTCCAGTTTCCTTAAACTCTAATCTAGATGGCTCAGAAAAGTGATACACTCTTTTAATTACCCAGTGGCCTAATTAATGAAGTGTTTGTCAAATACTTTGGTCCCATTTAGTTTTTTTAGTTTTTTGAATGATAATTTTTATATACAGTAGTATTATCAAAGATTTATGCTACTTCTCAACTTAGGTTTTGCTAAACAGGCTTCTATATCTTTTAATCTATTAGTTTTATATAGCTGCTTTACTCAGGTTTTGTATAACTCATATATCACATTATAGTTTTATAACCTCTTAGTATTAGCTGATACAACTATATTACAAATACAGATCTAATAGCATACAGTTTATCTAATGCATTTTATAAATTTAAATTTTGTCATTAGTAAGATTTGAATTTTTGTTCTGTTACTTAAAGATATAACAACTTGTTAATTACACTAAATTGTTATACTCTTTAATAAGATTTATAATAATTTATTTAAATATATATATTAGTTAAGAAATATATGCAACAAAGTATAATTACTTATAGATCAAATAATTTAATATATCCAAATTTATATATAGTGTATATAGCCTATAACCAATATTATATAACTAAAGATAGTTAAATTTTAAAAAATTTTTATTATAAAAATTTTTGTATTATATAAAAATTAGCTAATCAAATTTTAGCAAAATAAATATTAGTAGCCAAAAAATTTTTTTTTAAATCTTAAGGTGAAGCTATGCTTCTAAATTTATTAAAACTCAATTAAATCTCTTTACAAAAAAATTTATAAGAAAGAAATTACTAGTGATACGGGCCGATGGAAAAATCTCGGGTCGAGGCCAGCTCAGGCTGGCCCGGGTCAGCCCGGTCGGTCAGGGCTGATCTTTTTATAAAAGATTTTGAAAGATTTTGAAAGATTTTCAACCTTTATCACACTTTAGTCATGGATTGGGAAGTTATTCAGATCCGATTCAATACTTTTTTCTTTGACTTTATAAGAGATTCATATTCGATGTTGTCTTATTATCTACATTCCGAAGATTCCCGGCTGATAATTTCCGGGCCGGCCCGTATCACTAGAAATTACATATGAATTTCATATCCAAAGGATATCAAGAATAAAGAACAAGACAAAATTTTCTGTGATCTAAATCTATCAGGATGGTCAAGGCTTATCTAGATTTTAGGATTTGGATTAAATAGAGAGGCTTAATTTGATATTTAATCTATTTTGGATACCAAGTTTCTAATTTAGCACTAGCAGTAAAAAAAATAAAGAATGAAATTGAGAAAGAACTGAAGTTAACAAAGGTGATGAAGTCAAAAGAGTAATAGAAGCATGTGATCTATAAATATAATAAGGTAACTAAATATTGGTATAAATTTGTTGATTAAGATACAATAAGAACTTAATACTTAATGAAATTGTAGTTTTGTTAGATAAAATAATATCTTTAAGTAATATAATAATATTGAACTAGATAATGATATAAGAGATAGTATATTCTGTTGATTATGCATTTGTATACTGTAA